CGAAGAGAACATATTGAGCTCTTGAGAGAATTAAAAACTCTTGATAAAGAACTTAAAAACCTCACCCTTGAGGCAGTGGCTCCTGGCCCACAAAAACCAACTCTGAAATCTATTAGACCTAAGCTTAAGTCTCAGCCTGTCCTGGCATTTCCAGTTACCCAGAGCCAGACCTCTGGGGACTCATCTGAGGTGGCTGCCCAGAGCAGCCCCTAGAGGATATTGAGGACCAAAATGAGGAGGGAGAAGAGGAGGAGGAGGAACCATCATCAGAGGAACCCTGCCAGGACAAACTTACCAAAAATTAAATTTCCATCTTATTGAAAAACTTAAATGTGCCTGTGCTCAATGTGGCCCCATGGCTCCTTTTACATTGGCCTTGGTAGAAAACCAAAGTAAACATTGGCTGACACCCAATGATTGGTACTTTCTTGCCCATGTGGCACTTTCTGGGGGTGACTTTGTCCTCTGGAAAACAGAATTTACAGAAAATTGTCAAGAAATTGCTTTAAAAAATACCGAACAGTCACCCTCAAAAACCTGGACGCTAAAGAAACTTCTTGGCAACCCCCCTATGACACAAATGAGGTACAGGCAAAGTACCCCCCCTTCCCCTGACCCAGATTCAAAATGCTGGGGGCTGAGCATGGAAGCACCTCCCCCCAAAGGGGTCAGCTACCACCTCGTTGGCAAAGATCCGCTAGGGCCCTGATGAGCCTTTTAGCGATTTTGTCTCTCGTTTAAATGATGCCACCAAGAGACTGCTCGGGCTGGGTGAAAACGAAAGTACCTTCGTAAAACACTTAGCTTTTGAAAATGCAAACCCTGACTGCCAAGAAGTCCCCCACCCTCATAAAAACAGGGCAGATCCTGTCTGAATATGTCAGACTCTGTTCAGGCGTTGGTGCTGCCCACACCATGGGGCTAGGAATCGGTGCCGCCCTAAGGGCTTCACAGCAGTCTGGAACCTGTACCTGCTATTCCTGTAAACAACTGGGACATTTTGCTGGGGAGTGCCCTCTTAAAGGTAGCAACTTTACACCCTTGGCTCAGTCTGCCCAGGAGACTACTTCCGCGAGACCCCCACCTCCTACCCCATGTCCCTGCTGCAACAAGGGCCATCACTGGGCCAAAGAATGCAGATCAAAAACTAACTATCTTGGTCAACCCCTCCCTCCATTGGTGCCAGGAAACTCCCTAAGGGGCCAGCCCCTGGCCCCGATATCTACCCAAGTGCACCCTGGGGCCTTGAGGTCTGCACTCCCCCTAGCTCCCCAACCACCCCAAACCCCCTCACCCCGGTTCCCTTCTCCTCCCTCTGAAAAGCAACTCCAGGCAGTGCTGGACTGGACCTGTGTGCTGCCTCTGAAACAATATTAGATTCTCTTAGAGGGGTTCGGGTCATCCCTACAGGGGTGACGGGACCCTTACCTCCTAATGTCTGTGCACTTGTCCTTGGCTGTGCTTCTGCGGCCCTCAAAGTAGTCCAAGTCTACCCTGGCATAGTAGACAATGATTTCACAGGGAGATTAAGGTTTTGGCTTCTGCTGTAAATGGCACAGTCACAATTCCTCAGGGCATGTGCTTAGCACAGCTCATTCCCCTGCCTTTACCTGTCTGTGATAATCCCTCTATCAAAAACACCCCTCGAGGGTCAGCCAGCTTGGGGTCTTTGGATGCCTACTGGGTCCAGCCTGTCACTCAAGAATGCCCTACCCTCACATTTACTATAGAGGCAAAAATTTCCAGGGTATTCTGGATATGGGGGCAGATGCCACAGTCATATCTCAGTCCCACTGGCCATCCACTTGGCCACTGGTTCCATCCCTCACCGATTTAAAGGGAATCGGTCAGTCTAATAATCCCTTAATTAGTTCAAAAATGCTCTCCTGGAGGGACGAGGAGGGGAATCGTGACTGTCATTCTCTTTGTGTTTCTGGACCTGCCTGTTAATCTTTGGGGTCAGGACATAATTTCACAAATGCAGGTAATCTTGTATAGCCCAAATTCCACAGTCACACAACAAATGCTACATATGAATTATGTCCCTGGCATAGGCCTGGGCAAGGCAGCACAGGGGAAAACTCAACCAATTCAGCCCATCCCTAAGGATGATAGACATGGACTGGGATATTCGAGTTTTTAGTAGAGGCCACTGATCCTCCTGTACCCCATGCAGACAAGATTACCTGGACAACCCAGACCCCTGTCTGGGTGGATCAGTGGCCCCTTACTCAAGAAAAGTTACAGGCCGCCACTATGCTTATATAAGAGCAGCTTATGGCTGGCCACATTGAACCCTCCAACTCTCCTTGGAATACACCTATATTTGTTATCAAAAAGAAGTCAGGAAAATGGAGACTCCTTCAGGACTTAAGGGTGGTAAACAAGGTGATGAGACCTATGGGGGCCCTCCAGCCCAGACTGCCCTCGCCTGTTGCCATTCCCACTAATTTTCACAAGATGGTCATTGACCTTAAAGATTGCTTCTTTACCATTCCCTTGATAGGGCCTATTTTGCATTTAGTCACCCCCATCCTAATTTCCAAGGACCCATGCTTCGCTATCAATGGAAGGTATTACCCCAGGGCATGGCCAACAGCCCCACTCTCTGCCAGAAATTCGTGGCTCAGGCTGTGGATCCTGTCAGACTTAATTGGCCCCAGATATATATCTTACATTACATGGATGACTTTCTCCTCACTGCACCTGACGCCATCTCCCTTGAGCGATATTTTTCAGAACTCAGTAGAGCCCTTAATGGATTGGGACTATAGATCGCTCCAGATAAGGTCCAAACCCAGGACCATTTCAATTACCTGGGGTTGGAACTCCATTCAAACCGGGTCCTCGTTCCTCACATCCAGTTACACACCGACCATCTCCATACCCTAAATGATTTCCAACAATTACTTGGCCATATCCAATGGCTTAGGCCTTACCTTAAACTTCCTACAGATTCTCTCCTTCTCTTCTATGAGATCCTCTGGGGTGACCCTGATGCCACATCACCCCGTGTGCTTTCCCCTGCAGCCAATGAGGCTTTGATTCAGGTAGTCATTGCCATTAACCAACAGTCTTGCTTTCAGATTTCCTATGCCATACCTCTATATTTTATAGTTCTGCCCACACCACATACCCCCACAGGAGTCTTTTAGCAACATGCTCAAGAACCAAAAATTAAAGGAAAGATACTCCTCTGGGTCTACATGCCTGCTGCCCTTTTGAGAGTCATTTCTGTCTACCCCAAACAGGTGACCTCACTCATTATGAAAGGACGGTAGACCTCTTGCCAATATTTTGGCAAGGACCCTGATATCATACTTACACCCTATTCCAGGGATCAAACCCAGTTTTTGTTCCAAACCTTAGATAACTGGGGGGTTGCCTTGGCAGGGTTTATGGGGACACTGGATAATCACCTCCCAGATGACCCCTTGCTCCATTTTGCCCGACTACATTCCTTCATCTTTCCAAAGTTACAAAAACCAGTCCCATTTCTCATGTGCTTACAGTCTTCACCGATGGCTCCACCATTGGCGTTGCGGACTTTGTGGCCCAAGGTCATCCTACCTCCTTCCTAACGCCTTTTCGGTCAGCACAAATAGTTGAACTTTCAGCCATTTTAAAGGTTCTTCAGACCTATCCTGACCGACCTATTAACATTTATACAGATAGTACCTATATTGCCTTTTCTGTTCCCCTATTAGAAACCTCCCCAGCCATAAAACCCACCTCCAATGCCACCCCACTTTTTTCCCAGATTCAGCAGCTTGTCCTGACTTACCAATACCCATTTTTTATAGGCCATATTAGAGCTCATAGTGATCTTCCTGGACCGTTAGCTGATGGTGATGCACAGGCTGATGCCGCCACCAGGCTAACCTTCCCTGTCCTAATTGGCTCTGTTCTACAAGCCCAAAATGCTCATAAGACCCACCATTTAAACTCACAGACCCTCTGCCTCCTTTTCAAGATTTCTAGACAACAGGCCCTAGAAATTGTCAAACAGTGCCCTTCTTGTGTTGTTTCTCACCCCGTCCCACATTTGGGAGTTAATCCTCGGGGCCTCCTTCCTAACCAAATCTGTCAGATGGATGTTACTCATTGTCCAGGTTTTGGCAAACAAAAATTTATTCATGTCTCTATAGATACCTTTAGCGGCTTTGTTTTCGCCTCTCTCCACACTGGAGAAGCCATAAAGGATGTTCTTTCTCATCTGATTCTTGGCTTTTCTACCTTAGGAAAACCAGCTAAGATAAAGACAAATAATGGCCCCACTTACACCAGTGAAGATTTTAAGAAAATTTGCGATAGTCTACAAATCTTTCATACCACAGGGATACCTTACAACCCCCAAGGACAGGGCATGATAGAACAAGCCCATCAGACCTTAAAGACCTGGCTGGCTCATCTCAAATCTGCTGACCTTCGCTTCACCTCCCCTCGAGATCGATTGAGCCATGCCCTGTTCATTCTCAAATTCCTCACCCTAGATGCTGCAGGTCTTTCTGATGCAGATAGACACTGGCATCCTTCTCCAGACTCTGCCTGGCCACTGGCAATGTGTCGAGATCCCCTCATGGGATGTTGGAAGGGCCCCAACCCGGTCCTTATATGGGGGCGAGGTTCGGCCTGCATTCTTGACCAGATACACTCTGCTCCCAGATGGTTACCAGAATGCCTGGTTAGAGCTGTAAATATACCTGATCTGCCCAGGAGATATAGCCCCTCTCCTGAGGAAACTACTTCTGTTTCAAATGCTGTCCCTCCGGCAAACCATGATGATGATGGTGATCCTGATCCTAAGGCTCCTGATTCTTTCCTTCTCAGATCCAGCCCTCCAGGCTGTTGTCCTCGCCCACAACAACCCCCACCAGCCCCTTAACCATACTTGGCAGGTCATTACAGGTAGAGGACATGTCATTTGGAGCATCTCAAGGACAACCACCGATTCCTGGTGGCCTGACCTATTCCCAGATCTCTGTAAGTTAGCACTGTGAGATGCGGTACCATGGGGAGTTGAGGATAGATTGTCCCCTCACAAGGCCCCTGAGGAAGCCATGGACAGGCGGCACATCGCCCCTGGGTGCTCTCATTGCCTTCTGCACTCTCAGCTAGCCACGCTGTCTTGGGCACTCTCGGAGCACGAAGAACATGGCCCTGGAGCAGCTCTGCGTGGTCCTCAAAGTGTTGCTAATAACAGTACTTGTAGTGGAAGAGATGTCGGGGCCCAAAAGACCCAAGATGGACAAAATATTGGGATCAAGCACATTCCTGCAACCCAGTGTGGCATTTGGGTTCGAACCAGCAATGGAGGTCATTTTGCTTCACCAAATTATCCTGACTCATATTCACCAAACAAGGAATGTATCTATATTTTGGAAGCTGCTCCTCATCAACGAATAGAGCTGATCTTTGACAAACACTATTATATAGAGCCATCGTTTGACTGTCGGTTTGATCACTTGGAAGTTCGAGATGGACCATTTGGCTTCTCTCCTCTTATAGACCGTTACTGTGGCATGAAAAGCCCTACATTAATTAGGTCAACCAGAAGATTCATGTGGATTAAATTTAGAACTGATGAAGAACTTAAAGGACTAGGATTTCGAGCAAAATACTCATTCATCCCAGATCCAAACTTTACTTACCTTGGAGATGGCCAGTTTGAGCTCTCAGGAGCTGATGGAATAATATGTTCTGGCCAGATAGAACAAGAAAAAAAAAGCCTGGTCAAGCAGTTGATTGCATATGGACAGTTAAAGCTCCCCCCAAAGCCAAGATTTATTTGAGGTTCTTAGATTACCAAATGGAACACTCAAATGAATGCGAGAGAAATTTTGTGGCAGTCTATGATGGAAGCAGTGCCATTGAAAATCTAAAGGCCAAGTTTTGCAGCACTGTGGCTAATAATGTAATGCTGAAAACAGGAGTGGGGGTGATACAGATGTGGGCAGATGAAGGCAGTCGGCTCAGCAGGTTTAGGATGCTCTTCACTTCCTTTGTGGAGCCTCCCTGTACAAGCAGCACTTTCTTTTGTCATAGCAAGATGTGCATCAACAATTCTTTGGTCTGTAATGGTGTTCAAAACTGTGCATACCCTTGGGAAGAGAATCACTGTAGAGAGAAGAAGAATGATGGACTATTTGAACAGATCACTAAAACTCATGGGACAATTATTGGCATTACATCAGGGATTGTCTTGGTTCTTCTTATTATTTCTATTTCAGTACAAGTGAAACAGCCCTGGAAAAAGGTTATGGCTTGCAAAACTGCATTTAATAAAACTGGGTTTCAAAGAAAAAAAAGAGAGAGAAAGGGAACAAGAGCTTGGGTGGTTCCACAATTGGTTTTCTGCCTCCCCTTGGCTAACGACCCTCCTAGGACCTGTTGTAGGCCTGATCCTGATCCTTGACTTTGGGCCATGGGCACTTTGCCAGCTCACTCGGTTCATCCAAAGCCAAATAATAGACCTGCGAGTCAGGCAGATCCAGGTTCATTACCACCATCTTGAAATGCAGGATACTGGGGTTGAAATTTCTTCCCCTGACAAGAGATGCCCCACATAGACCCCTTCACTTGGGGAAGGCTGAACCTGTGTGTGGGAAAAAGGCTCACTCAAGGCATGATTGGAGTGCAGCTGGGACTGCACAGGCTGGGGACCATGGTACCCCAAAATCCCGAGAGCCTGGATTATATGCCCTGTTGCATAGTGGTTGTGCAGTAGCAGACTTGCGCTTACCCATTTCCGCTCCCTCAAAAAAAACTGCAAGGTCCACTGATTCCCACACTATGGGGATGCCCGTGGTGCTTGAGTCTGGAGAGACATTTCCTCTCAGACCCCTTTTTTCACAACCTTTAGAGGGGCAGGGCCTCTGTAATCCTCCATGCAAAGCCGCTTTCAGAACCCTCCTTTTAGACCATTTGAACCTGGTTTATGTTGGCCCTTAGATTTATTACTAAGAAGGGGGAGATGTCAGGGACAAGGACAGAACCTCTAGCTGATGGAAAAATACAGACTTTTAGAAGAGCTTAATGGAAAAATACAGGCCCTCAATAAAACAGGGAACTAGAACATCTTGCAGTCAGGTTGCCTAGTGACAGGGCATTGAGTCAGAACCCTTGGCCTTTTCACCCTGCCAATATCCTGCACAAACATCTGCAGCTGTGTTAGCTTGCTTCACGCAGATAATGGCTTCCTGCTTCCCCCACCCTGCAATAAACCCTCTTGGAGAAAAATAAAGTTTCACCTTGATCAGAATCCTGTCTTGGTGTCTTCCTTTGTGTCTCCTGTCCTTATCATTCTGTCCTTAGGGTGGTCGAGTCCCCATTGAAGCCCTGCTGGCTGGGGCAGATTAAGGGTGCTATCAGGAGTTGTCATGTCTCTCTATCATGAAAGGCTTTTTATTAAACATTTAAAATGACATATTCTGCAGATCTCTGAAGGGTTTTAGGACCATGATCTATTAGGTGTGTCTCAACAGACAAACTTCGGTTCTAGTTACTTATTTTAAGTTTAACTCTAAAAACATACACAGGACCCTAGATGAAGCTTGTTCCTGTAATAAATTGTAGTAGTACTTAGCATACCTACAAGTAAAGTTCTGAACACAAAGAGTTTGACCATTTAGTAGGTGACTAACCATTAACTTGTATATCTTAATTATTCTTGTCAGCTTACACTAAGTAGTTTTTATAAGACTAGGACATTATGTCCCATCCCTATTAGGTTTAGTCTTTAAAATAATGCTTTTGAATTGAAACTCTTCTAGAATCAAAATAAAACTGTTAATCAATGATACAGGTCATAGAAAGACTGGCAAATTTACTTATTATTTTATAGTGCACCATTATACATTTTAAAGTGTAACTAATAGTGTAGGCTAATGTATTGTGTTCAGTAAAAATAAGTGTGTTTAACCTAGATGCCATTAAACAGAAAACTATAAAAACTAGACATCTACAGGACCTCAGAAAATATTGGGATCAGGCAGGTTGTATTTATTTTACAGATTTGTAACCATGTTCAATAAGCTTACAGATCTTAAGGTATAGGAAATTTATATTTTAGCTGTTTCGAAGCACTTGGGCTGTTTTATTTCTTCTCTTTGTCCTAGAGTCTGATGGCCTTCTGACCTAGGACAGAGATTTTGGAGAAAAAAATTTAAGCAACCATGCTTGTGTCAAAAGAGGGAGGCTCTACCTCAACTCCAGAGCCAGTTTTTGTAATAAAGTAGAAAATCGTAAAACAGTATTTTAATATTAACCATATCGAAAAGACACCTAGTCACTGCAATCCCTAATCCAGTGATCAGATGGAGAGACCAGATAAAGCAGAATACAAAGTAGACTTGGAGAAAAATTCTGTGTGCAGATCCACTGCTACACCTGTAAATAGAGGCTGCACTTTTGTTTCCCAATGGCATGATTCCAAATAATCACACAGAATTATTTTATATATTTTATATATTATTTACATATATTTATATATATTTATAAATATTTATATATATATTAATTATAAACTGTTTGGCCTATAACTTAGGTTTATTACTATATAGCTCTTAGAACTTAAACTAACCCATTTCTATTTTTTTTTTTTTTTTTTTTTTTTTGGTTTTTCGAGACAGGGTTTCTCTGTGCAGCTTTGCGCCTTTCCTGGGATTCACTTGGTAGCCCAGGCTGGCCTCAAACTCACAGAGATCCGCCTGGCTCTGCCTCCCGAGTGCTGGGATTAAAGGCGTGCGCCACCACTGCCCGGCCCATTTCTATTAATCTATGTATTGCCATGTGGCCATGATTTTTACTGGTCTGCTGGCATGTTGTTTCTTGGGTGTCTCCTCTCATCTCTTCCTCCGCCCTTCTTCTCCCTGTATTGTTAGTTTGGCTTTCCAGCCTAGCTATATTCTGTCTTGTTGTAGACCAAAGCAAATTTTATTATCAACTGATGAGAGCAGCATATATTACAGCATACAGAAGGGTTATTGCATAGCAAGCACCACCACTGGGAACAGTAGGCAGTGGAAAAGGGATATGGTGCCCACTAGGGTTGCACACCAGAGCTTCCTGTATAACACCAGGCCAGTGGTTAGGGAGTAGCTACAGCCAGAGTTCCATGTTCAGAGACAGAGGCCACCTGGGAGATAGAGCAAGTATGAAACAAGACATATTATTTAAAGGCAGAGTGAAGGAAAATAATTACAAACATGAAAGGCATGGAAAAGTGCCTGATGTACACGCAGGACTTAAACAGCAGGATTCAGTGAGCCAATGAGAGGGAGAGAGATGGAGCAAGCCAGAAGGAGCAAGATTCATGGAAGAGAGCTACCATAGAAGTAGCCAACAGCAGCCTGCTTCTCAGAAATCCTGAAAATGTAGTATGTAGCTCAGGGGCAATTTGGCTATGTTCAGTTCAGTTCCCATCTTTGCAACAAAACTTGAAAACACAAATCCAACACACAACAGAGAACAATGGAGAAAGACAGTACAACAAAATCAGGGAAAACCAGATTAATTCAGACATATGATGGCCACCTTCACTCATACACCAAAAACAGTACAGTAGCACATCCCTTCTGCCCAGGAGATTAGGTCTATGATCTTGTCCAATCTTGCCTTTCATCTCTCCAAATGTCTGGACTCCAAAACAGAACACCTACTGACAGGTCCTTGATGCAGAAGCACATAGGCTGGCAATTCTTACCTTCATTTTGCAAATTTGGGGCTGTTTCAGCCTGGGCTTCCTAGGACCTATCAAGTCCAATTTGGACTTACTCCCTCTGGGGCCTATCCTAGACCTCTAGCCCTGAATCTTGGATCTCCCAGGGGTATCACTGGAAGCCTCCAAATGTGATACCTCTGAGAAAGGGCCATAGATTCATTCCCATTATAACTGAAAAATATATTATCTGTTAACAAAGGTGAATGATCTCAGAGTCAAATTTGAGATTGCCATGTAGGAGGGGTATGATTGCAACAAATGAAGGTGAGCAATACAAAAGTGGGATCCTTATTCACCTCTGGTGGGAATAACAACAGGTACAAAAGGGTTGATAAATTTTGGTGTTTTCAAAAACCAAGGTTTTAAACCACCATGTTACCTACCACCAGAAAACTGAATCCTCATAGCTCCCAAAGTCCACTCACAGTCAGACTTGGACATGAAGGGTTACTGCTACACTATTCATGAGTTAAGTAATAGAAAGAGTTGATGTGCCCATGATCATATTCATGGGTAAAGACAATGGAGCACATTCCTGTGGAATTTTATTTGCCACAAAGAAAATGACAATCATTAATGTAATATTAAAATCAATAACAGTGAAAATACTGAGTCAATGTCTAATGAGAAAGAGATATCCTTGATATTTCCTTCCATGTGCAAATTCTATATTTTACTTTTGTCAGTTTGTGTGTGGTTAGAGTCCAATCTACACAGAGAGCCACAGTTCTATCATGAAAGGCAGGTGACATTTAGGAATGAGGTTTATGGAAGGAACAGTCGGGAAACCATGGTGCAGCTTTGAAGTGGGAGAGCATCACAGATAAACAACTCAGCACTCTATAAGACAAGAATGCAGCTTTTAATGGCGGCATCACAAGCTCACAGCTCAAGAAAAGGACTGCGTGGTGGAAGAGTGTCCTCTTGACAAATAAAGAAAATCCATCTCAAATATGAACTCACAGTTAGGATCCCAGATCAGTCATGTCCTGAGAAACGGTTTGAGGGGTTCTAGAATTTTCATCATCGCACATCGCTATCAGTGCTTCCAGGTGGAAGAAAATGCCTGTAATGCAATATTTGACCCTTTTTTCACACTTCCTCTCATACTGTGTGTCAGATACAGCACATGTATTCACTGTGTGTGTCATGTTGTCTTGGAGGACAGACACATCACGTAATGGCTCATTCTCTCTGACAAGTATCATGATTTTGTTGTTCCTATTGTTGTTATTTTTCTCAGTATGATAAACTTTTCAGCAGATGTGGTTACAGCCATTCACTTCACCATTAAAAGAGACCATACAGTGCTCAATAAAGCAAGGTATACCTTTCCAACTTACTTCTCTTCTCAAGATGGACTGTTTTCTGTCTAAGTTGTATACATATCTTTATATGAAAATGTTGATCAATTTCAACCCACCTGGAATAATATCAGTAGAATTTTAATTTTGGAGGTGAAATAAATTATCATTTGGCTAACAAATGTGTTAAATGTAATGACTGTACATTAAATGTTGTATACAGCGTCAAGGCAAAATTGTCAAGAAGGAGGCATGGTGTTGTGATATAAAAAACCAGGAGCTAACATGGAAATGTGTCAAGATAAAAAAAATATTTTATAGCTAGGACAAACATGAAGTTTCCTCTAAAGTAGGAGAGAGAAAACACCCATACTAAAAGAAGGTGGGGGCTTTTTATAGTTCAAGCTCAAGCCTGATGAGCATAACAAGTGACTACAAAAGCTTAAATTTTTACACTTAGTAACTTAGTTAGCTATCAGTCAGCTTTCAGAACATACCATGAAACATTTTATGGTCAGCCAGTTCTCAGAATATACCATGAAACAATGGAAACTGTGGTGATATATTGTGTATCTTAATAAACTTGCCTGAGGTTCAGAAGACAGAGGCAGCTATTAGATTAGACACAGAGCCAGGCTGTGGTGGCACACATCCTTAATCTTATGATAGGATAAATCAAATTATGTTTAATTGAAATAGAAAAAAGTGGAGTCGGCTGTCCCTTAAGAATTGCAGAAATCACCTGAAGCCTCCCAGGGAGAAGAGATTCCTCAGGAAAGCAGAGGAATAGGATGAATTGTTCCAGGGTGTGACCTTGGAATCAATCACTGAATATGTCAGAAACTTCAAAATCCTATCTCCTGTGAAAACATCTTCCATGGCATGCATACAGCTGTGCCTTGCTATTCTTCCACACAGTTCTCAGTCTGACAATAAGATTAACTATGACTACAGTGAGATCCTTCAGTTCTTGACCACCAACTATTTTCTCCCATGTGGTCAACTTTACAATCACAGCATCATTATATATGGAGATATACATATGTATCACATTGACCTAACGTATCATCTCCAATAGTTCTCTTGATAGGTAATGGACATTTACATGGTTTCTTACCTAGCCATATTTTGAGGATTTTAGAGTGACAGTGAGAGAGCCAATGCTAGTTAACACCAACTTCATTCCATATG